GAGAGATTATCCAATTCATTCGAATTACTGCAGATGTACAAAGTTTACAAAGCATTGAACTTCGATGAAGTACTATTAAAAATGTCTAGGTTACAGAGACAAGCAGAAATATTGGTTTCATAACTCTATATAAAATAATGAAAAAAAAAACCAAGGCTATTTTTGGAAAGCTGTGATCGTTAGGATATTACAATGAACCTAATTTTAAAGAAGTGAATATTATAGAACATTGTGAATTACAAACGATTTGTAAATATTGACAGCTACGTAAAGAGAAAAGCAAAAATATTATCATAGGATGTGAATATTCACGAATGTAAATGATACCTCCGGAGGGTATATGGATGTAGCCACTACAAGTAATGTATAAGATATATATATACATAGCGTGTATATATATATATATATATATATCTTAAGGTTCATCAAAGTAAAGCAAAGGCAAGCAAAAAAAATCCCCTAATGCTACATTCTTTTCTTTAAACTTTTGAAATTGATAAGATAGTTTGTGACCAGTTCATGCGTGTAAACACAAACCTTAATTTTTCCTTAGTCAACAAATGAAAAGAAACAAAAGAATCGACTACAGTTTGTGGGGTATAGCTCTTTCAATTTATCGTGACGTTACTACGAATTTATGATCCTTCTTTTCTACAGCGGTTAAAGCATTAAGGGTGTATGAAACTTACATTACACTTATTTATACTTCGTCCTAGTCAGTTGAAAGTAAAGATAAAAGCCTCTTTGCACAAGCTTTTGTCTGATATTCAAATAAGTCCATTTTGTTTATCATCATCAATTGTGATTCGTTTCCGAGAGCGCTCTGGGCATCATGCAAATCAGCGGCTGCTACATCAATCTGCTGAATTCGATTAACTGCCTCTGTTCCCGTGATACCGCCATTTGTTTTGTTGCCCTTGTTTACATGACTACGTTCATTTCGTCGTTAAGTTAATCTTGGATGATAAACATTAAGTGCATAATGCATGAGACCTTTGACGAAGATGTTTCCTTTTGCGCTTTGCAGAATTGACGCCAGTAAAATGTTAGCTCCGTGTGGTCATAATCGTGGTCAGAATATATTCTGAGACGATCCGTGCTCAGGGCTCTATAAGTTGATACATTGTTTTGCAGTGTATGACTTGCCAGTGCTTTACATTACCTATTTTATTACAGTACAAAATATGCAAACAACATTTGTGACAAATCGCGCCATGATTAGTCCTTCCGTGTATAATTTGTCTTTTAGAGAACAATACTTGATATTTCGCTTTAGACTGTTTGGTTTGCAGTCAAGGCGTGGCCCCGGGGCAGGTTTTAGTGAGCTATTTATGTGCTGTATAGTGTTATATTTGCATTATTCCAAATCCATAATAAGCTGAGGTTTGTATGTAGGAATCCAATACGCCCAAGCAGGATTGTTCTGCTGCAAGTGGTTAAGGAGTCAGTTAATCGGCAGACTGTTCTAGTTACAGCATCAGATCAACGTCGATAAGGCAAGTGGAAGCAAAAACGTCCGACCTCGGTGTCAACGGTTTATACGTGGACGCTGTATGAGGATGTTCCAGGTTCGATTCCTTGTAGGGCCAATTTAGGAAACACAACTCTTCCATTATATACGGACTAGTGCTCCTGAGTGAATTCTGATGCTCTGGCCCTCATAGTACAGGCAGTTGCCTAGTTTTTGGTACAGGTAATTAATAGGTGTGATTTTCTAGCAAAAAGAAATAAAATAATTTTATGTATGAAATTCTTACTATGACTAAACGTGGGAAAATAGTTAATTATCTTAAAACAGCTAACAGATGTTCGGCAACCACAGCTATTTTATTTTATTTTTTTTATTTTTACTGTAATGGTACAGATTACAGAAAACAGATTAAAACACTATTTTAAAACAATACAAACACAATACATCGGTAAATCTGCATTCCAATTATAACTGTACACAGCATTCAGAAATAAAAGAAAATATACATTTTGCGATTTTGTAAACTAAAAATTAAAAAGAAAAATAAAAACGGAAATTAAAGCTAAAGCATGACAAAAATAATTAAAAATAGGAAACTTAATACAAATACACATGCATATATCTTAATGATGTTTAGAGACAGACTTTTTGAATTCATGAATGCTATCATGAAATATGTCATGGTTACAACAAATTTTATCATATGATCTACACATTCTGTAAATTGGGCTATTAAAAGAAACATTATTACAAAAAGCTTGAGCAACAAATAATTGAGGTCGACGAACTGAACGAGTTGGTACCCTTATGCAAATTCTGTCTAGTAGTATGTCACCAAATTTGCCATTTACTATTTTGTGCAAAGTGCATAAGTCACTGGTAATTCTACGGCGGGCCAGGGTCTGTAGACCAAACTTACAGAGTCGGTTTTCATAACCTATCAGTTTGCGCCTCAATCCAAATCTACTGCAAAGCATTCTTAGAAATCGGCGCTGAACAGACTCTATGTGATCAATATGTATGCTGTAAATGGGAAACCAGACCGATAAGCAGTATTCAAGCGTGCTGCGCACCAATGCATTATACAGTATGATCCAAGATTGCTCATTCCTAAATGGCTTCACGGTGCGGAAAATGAATCCAAGCATCTTATAGGATTTGTTGATAATATAGTTATAATGTTGCCTAAATGATAAGGTTGAGTCAAAATAGACGCCCAAGTCTCTAACAGCACACACACGATCAAGTGACACTCCGCCCAGATTATAGTCGTAGTTAATTAATGTCCTATTTTTTGTGAAGGTGATAACCTGACACTTCCTCACATTCAATGACATGTGATTTTCACTACACCACGAGCCGATCAGATCGAGGTCATCTTGGAGAAGTTGAGAATGTTCCCGCTTTTGAGTTTTACGATATATCTTGATATCATCAGCATAAGCGAGACATTCACTTGACAATCTTTCCAACAAATCATTGACGAATATAAGGAATAACAGTGGGCCTAAGTTCGAGCCCTGAGGAACTCCAGTAACCGCTAAGAAAGGTGTAGAATCAAACCCATACAAAGAAACAAGCTGTGTCCGGTTAGCCAAATACGAAGTCAACCAACGATGAAGGCTTCCATGAATACCCAGGTGGTAGGCCTTTGATAATAAGATCGAATGATTTACTCGATCAAATGCCTTTGAAAAATCTGTATATATGGCGTCAACCTGGACTTTTTCATTAAATGCATCACACAGAAATGATGTATAGATCAACAAGTTCGAAACAGTAGAACGACCGCTCACAAAACCGTGCTGCTTGGGACTAATCCTGTGAGCCACCTGACCATATATGTATTCGTATACGATACTTTCAAATATTTTTGCAAAACAGCCAAGGATGCTAATAGGACGGTAGTTAGTCACGTCACTTTTATCTCCCGACTTATGTACAGGTGTAATCCTAGCTATCTTCCAAAGGGATGGGAATATACCATTATTTAAGGATTTGTTAAATATTATCGTCAATGGATACACCAGAGCAGACGCGCACAGGCGCACAAAGATTGGTGGTATACCGTCGGGTCCTGCTCCCTTAGTCACATCAATACTCCTAAGACGCAGCAGTACCTCATCAGACGACAGAGTAATGCCTGCCAAAGAGTAATTTGATGAGGGAAACTCCGGAACGTAGTTCACATTAACACCTGACCCGAATACGGATGAGAAGAATTCACCGAAGAGGTTGACAATATCATCACCGCTGTGAGCAGTCCTGTCCCTATAAAACATGTGATTGGGAATGTCATTGGTTATTTTTTTACTTTTAGTGTAACGCCAAAATGTTTTAAGATTAGTACACAAATCATGCTCTACTCTTGCAACGTATGACGAAAAGCAGCTGCACATCAATTCCTTAGCACGCGCCCTAAGCAAACTAAAAGTGTCATAATCACGAGGATTCCCATATCGTTTATAGCGAGAGTGGTACCTCGTCTTACTTTTAAATAAATTAATTAAATCCTTTGTGAACCAACATGGATACTTAGTTGACTTAGCCTTGAATTTTGGGGTATGCCTTTCAATTATTGTATATAATCGATTATAAAAGTATTGCACAAAGTCATCACAATTCAGAAGCAAAGCCTGACCATCCCAATCTACAGATCGAAGTTCATCAATGCAGGCCTCATAATCAGTCTTACGGAAACACAACCTATTAATCAACTTGGAACAAATTAAAGGGTTCGCACAGTGGAAAGTCAACTGTAAAGGTGGATGATGAGAATCAATACGGCTAATGGGTGCAGCAGGAGTTAGTGTTAAGTCATTAGGAAAATCCGTGATGACCAGATCCAGAATTCGACCAATATGATTCTGCAGGGCATTAACTTGTCTCATAGCAGAGTTCCTAGAGAGATCAAGAAGGCACATTGATTTATCGGTGCTAGGATTGACGGGACAACCTGTTTCCTTACACCATGTTAGGCCACCTAGGTTAAAGTCCCCAACAACCAACGTGCAGTATTTGGTATCAAGGTTGGATACATTCCCAACAGTGCCAATGAAATCAGCGTACATTGCAGCAGGCAAATAGTCAGGCAGATAGACTGTGCATAAATTAATCGTGACATGTTTGTTGATTCTTATTTGCAGCCAAATATCCTCCACAAAAACAGACTGCCAACTCGCTCTGACGTTTACATCAAGAGTCTTGGATACAGCAACAAGCACTCCGCCGCCATGGTGTTTATTGAATTGTTTCTTAAAAACATCATCGCGGTCCCTTCTAAAAACATTGTACCTATCGTCAAATAACTCGGATGAATAAACTGAGTCTTCCAACCATGTTTCACAAAGACAAATTACGTCGTAGTTATTACTAAGTACATTATTATAGAATTCATTCGTTTTAGACTTTAAACCTCTTACATTTTGGTAATAAATAGTGATTGTCATATACTAAAATAAGCTATGAATCAACAATTACAATGATTACAAACAAGACAGTAAATATTAGTGCAATAACAATTAAATAATTAAATAATGTATTTTAAGCTGTCTCTGTTTTTTATTAAAATATACTGTGAGTCAGGGGTCTTTCTGATGTAAATGCGGCCACCTCGCACCCAAACAAATTTGTACCCCTTCTCTTTGGCGGCTATACGCACGGCAGCGTGCAGTGACTTATTTTCTGGCGATAAGTGCTCGGAAACATAGACTGGTGTCTTAACAGTTCCAAATCCCAAATGCGTAGTATTTAGCTTTTCTTTAGGATTAGATTTGTTGAATCTGTGCACTGCGGAATAAAACTCGTCACGACACCTCACACTCCGAAACTTAACTATGATAGCCCGAGGTCGTTGACTATCCTTATTTTGTCTGGCTACTCTTGTGTAGTTGACAATATCTGTGTCGCCTACTTGATGACCCACAGTTGAAGCACACTGTTGTAAAATTGATGGTATATTCTCGCTCCGACTCTCAGGCACGCCGTGTATCTCCAGATTGTTCTCTCTCAGATGTTGTTCGAGATCATTTACACGAGACGAGAGTTGAGCAAATGAGGTTTGAAGCTCAAGATTCGTTTTCTTTAGTTGAATATTCTCCTCAGTAATAGTGCTAATAGATTTGCACAATTCATCGTATTTACCACTCAAAAAGTCAAAGGATTTGCAGAGCTCTCGAAAATCGTTCTTTAGGGGAGAAAATTCGTTTTTTATGATAGTCTTTATCAGTTCTGGCACTTCCAGTTTAATAGCAGCAATGACCTGTTCCCGTATGTTAACAATGAGTTCCTCTTGGTCCTCGCTCCTTTCCGCTCCTTGTACCGAGCTATAGGTACGCTGGCTGCGGGTATCGCGAACTGTTACACGCGAGAATGAGGTATCACTTTCCTCGTGGGCGTCCTCGTCGTCAGTAGCTACTGGTTGCCGGAGTGGGGTGTTGGAGTTGCCGCTCTTGGTTGCTATGAACCATTTCGAATAAATTAGCCTTCAAATAAAAGGAAAACTGAATTGATATCAGTTCATCCGTATGGATTTGCGATGCCACAGACAGACAACACAGGTAATTGTTTCAAAATTATATTATGATATTTCTAAAATTGAAAAATCTGTACATTCTGATGAACAGCTGTCAAGGCCCATATAGTTAATTTTTCTTTACACGGTAAAGCCGCTTAGACTATGTAAACCAATTTTTTCCATCCTCTAAGGAAAACCGTCATAGGCCACGTGTCACGTATCTGGCAAGTTAATTCAATTCAATGACACTAGCGTTTGGCTAGTAATTTGCAGTTGCCCACTTCCGTTGTCATCCAATAAACTGAGACTGCAGTCTTCTTGAATATGGAATTAGTTTTCTTTACATCTCTCCGCGATCGAGAGTTTGTCGTGAGCAGGTTGAATTAAAATACATTTTCCTTTGACATTTGCGGTTATTGTAGTTTCTTCTGAATGCAAATTGCGATTATGAGGTCCGATTTTTATTTCTATTTTTCACATGATTCACACTTGATTTGATAAATAATTTCCCTTTTTTCTGGTGTAGCAATCCATTTGGATACTGCATATGTCCGCCTAACCTTTCAGACTTGATTCATATCCAAAGACGCTCCACTCAGAAATGGGTTGTTGTTTTTGGTACCAGGTGTACTACATATTTTATTACCTTCCAATCCAATTTGTTAAGTTAGAGGACTACAAATGAAAAACTATCATATTATTTTAAATCCGACAACACTAAGCTGTTCCCGTTTAATTGAAACGCATTTATCTAAGGCGGCCGACGAAAGGTCGTCAGCAACGTCCCATCATCGATTCATCGAGCACTCTCGAGGTTTGAGAGATTGAAACTAAACATAATGTAGACATTTCACTCGATGACGCAAGCTTTACCCGAACGACGTTATGTAAAGGCAGAATTTGAAAACATATCGATTGGCTAGTTTAAATTTATAGTTGATTTGCAAGAGTACAAATCTTAATTCTATGCTGATTGTAGTCACTGTTGTTTATTAAAAAAAATGTATAAATCACATTTTTTAAAACTACAATCTGAATCTATGTTTTAAAAACTATCTCAAACTAGTTCAAAAAAGGTATTAACTAAGAACTGATGTCGTCATTGGTAGGCCTCGAAATTTAATTTCAGCAAAAAAGCAGGTAAAAGGCGAATTGCGCCGTCATCAGCTCTAAAACAATTCCCGGGGGTGACTAGTCAGTTCGTTTCGTGGAAAATTTATCGAGTGCCGGCGCGTACAGCTTGTTCGCTGGTCTATGCCGACAGTGAATAGCTTACGTACATACTTACATAAAGGTATATAAATTAACTAGTTACGTTAAGAACCATTTCAGATTAACAATAAGTGGTTTCCAATATGTGTGTTGTACCTACGACAAGAGACAAAATGATCATGTACCAGTCAGTAGGTGGCCAGTAAACAAAATAACGAGTTTGATTAAGAACGAGGAGTGTTTATACAAAGTTTTGTGCATTCCCGACTTGCATTTTTAAAGTGCGCTTAAAAAAAATATTGTAAAGAAGAATGAATCAATTCACTACCAAGCTACTAAAGTTTTTTTTACTCAAGTTTTTACGGTTAGTGGTTCTCCGCTGTAGCATAAGTTAAATCTTAACTTCTGATCTGTCATTTGGACATCAGTAAATAAATCCCGTTTTATTTTAAGAGAATAAATATATTATTAATACAAAGATCGTACACTCAAAAAATATCCTTCGATCCGGCTGAATGATACGCATTCGAGTACTATTATCCAACCGGATCGAAAGTGTTCCATCTTTGTAATAATAATCATAACAGACTAGTGAAGTAAATTCACAAAAATAATTGAATATCATGGTGGTCAGACATTCAATAAAAACTTAAAAATATTAAAATAAATAGTTATAATGAAAAATATATACAAAACTTATAATAACAAGAGTATTTAAAAAATATCACTGTCAAATATTGTGACAAAAATATTCCTACAATATTAACAAGATTGTCTTTTCTTTTGTCGTTCTTTATTTTTTTATCAAGTCTCTTATTGTTTTGAATTGTACGTAACTATTTTTTTTCTTTCGTTGTTAAATCTTGTTGTACATCGCCAGCACGTCAAGCGACACATTGGCGTATCTTGTTCCGTTGCACTGGAGGCGATTTTCGAACAAAAATGTGTAGTCTGATGTGCCGTTGTCCGTACCTCACCACTTCTCAGTTTAGTTGTAGTGGTTAACGACAGTGTTGGTGATATACTCATTACATGTTTACTGTAAAATAATTAATTTTAAGTTTTAATTGTGTCTGCTGTATGTTGACCCAAATAAAAAAATACGAGCAAGTAAAATAATGCTTAATTTGACAATACAGATTTTGAGGGATTGTCAATCTCTTTCAAACTTAAGGCATCCAGAGACATTTAGTTGGTTCGATTCCAAATTGTACGAATACGTTATTTACGAATACTCAGTGCCGAGATAACAAAAGTGTGCCTCGAACTATTTTTTAAACATTGATATTAACTACCTGTACATAATATCAAACATTTTAATATCTTTATAATGTAGATACTGTGTAGTCTCAAGTTCACGCAGAAACACCAATTGTATGATAACAAATATATCTTTGAAGTCAACATATGCATTTTATAAAGATATTCCAACGAGACATATAAAGAAAAACACTATTTGATGGCCCATTGACTTCAACTGATTTTCCTTGCCATGCCACTTCCCAATGTTAAAAATTGAAAAAAAAAAAAGAATTAATATTATTTTCTTTGCAAGTTTGCTAAGGTACTGTGGAGTTTTTCTAGATACATGGAATTTAGTATGAACCACTTTGTAAATACATGTATTTTACAACATGGACATTTGTAAACTACGTCGAAACCAAATAGGAACTTTTTAATAATATGTATACTTATGTACATGTTGATAGGAAATAAGGATAAATGTCGATTTAGGTGCTGAAATGACTTAGTCAAAGTTTTCGGTTTTCGGTCGGACCCGAACTCGGCTTGAGACGTTTCCGAGGGGAGTTGATGACAGTACTGCTGTTTAGTAGAACGCCGCCTGTTACACTTTGTTTGGACGTGTTAGATGTGGTTCTAATTGGACCGTGGAAACTTTTCAGAATGGTTTGGAAAGGGGCAATTTCAGACTGCGATTGAGAAACATTTCAGTCGTTTGTACCGTTGTACGTATTTATGGAGTAAACAAATAAATAACGCGCACAACTCATAACCCCGCACTAGAGAAACCTTGTATATTGCAGGTGCCAAGGACACACACATAGACAACCCCAAATTACACCCAAACTCACGAGAGAAATAAATGTGTCATACAAATATTTCTCCCGGGCCGGGAAACGAACCCGGGACCTCTGCATGGCAATCCAGCATGGTAACCGGACCGACCGGAGAGGCAGTAAATATTTGTGATAAAAGGGTTATACAAAATGCATTTTTGACCACCGTGCTTCTCCTCATGGTATATAAAGTTTTCACAGTTTTATGTAGACATTAATACAATAATTTGTTTACCGTACTCAGGCAATCTAATTAAATACAATTTAACATGTCTGTCTAGTTTCGGAAATAAATATTGAAATTAGGAATTGCAATAGTTATTTAATTACCTACCTCGATGATAAATGGAGGTTTCTATAAAATTAGTATTTTATTATTTATTTACGAAACTAATCGGACTTATCAAGTGTATTATAATTACTTATATTTCATTATATTGTTACTGTGGCTGATGTTATTTTATTGGACTGCCTGTGTACAGTGTTCAAATTATTACGCTCTCTTCAAGTGCCTTTGCAAAGTCTAGTTTGGGTCTGATCAGAACTCCACTAAAGAGCGTTGAAATTCGCCATGGTGTGCAAAGGCAAAACGAAATATCTGTTCACTCCGTAACAATTTACAAATTAAGTTCGCTCGGGCGCACGGCCAATAGAGTTTTCCTCTGGACTGTGGTCGGTTTTGAAAGTAGCGATGCGTGAAAACCTGAAACAAGATGCTGCCAAACTTGAAAATTATTTCTCAAAGGTAACATGCTTGAGCTTTCCATTTTACCTCCAATGTAACAACAACACATAGGTGTTTTATCTATCATGGTAAAGGTAAAACATACTAAATATGCTTAATATACCTATTTATTTTATAACTGAATTTTGCTAAGTATTACGAAGGTAAAGGTAGAAAATGTTATCGAGTGCCGCGCCTTAGGGCGTCGTTTCCCCTTTGGGTAACTAAACTTATTCCTTTGGCGGAATTAGCTGCCAGCCTTCTGGTCGCTGGAGACATTAGCGTGGTAAATCGAAAGTTCTTTGGTTAGGTATTCCTCCTGCGGCGCAAAGCTATGGCTCTGGTTGAGTTAGCATATTCGAGCCTTTTAATTGCACGTCACAACTTTTCACAGAGTTAAGGAAACATATCACTATCGAATTCCTCAATTTTACTTTGTCCACATAACCACGTCCATAGTCGTACTCAATGTATCCATCCATCCATACCCGTACTCTGCAGTAGAATTTGCGATCAAAAATGTAAAACAAAGATTTTTTTGTAACATCAAGTGACGGGACCACTACGCCCGTCACCCTGAGACATAAGTTCCATGTGCCTGTAATTTTACCAGCACCCTTTCCCTTCGAAACCGGAACACAGTAGTGCTGACATTGCTGCTTGGCGGCAGAAGTAGGTAAGGTGGCTGTACTACCTTGGACGAACTCTTTCACAAGGAACTCTAGTGCTACTAACAAAGGTGTTATTACGAAAAAAAAATGAACGATGGAGCAAAAGATTGACCCATCGTGTTTTTGTTGATGTTTTAAACCCTCAAATAATCGTTATCTTTTGCCGTTAATACTATAGATCAAGTTATTTCAGACACAACAGTGCTACTTTTGATTCTCGGAATTTGTTCAGTTGAGCACTCGTCTGCACACAGTTGAACTTCACGCATTAATTGCAGACGTGCAGTCCACATGTTGTCAGCCTAAAATGTGAAATTGGGTCAAAGCACGTGAAACGCTCGAGATAATTGCTGTCAAAGTAATTTTTACGATGCCGTTAACTTTTGCACTTTTGTAGCAATAAATTAAAAAATCTATAACTGTTAGTATATTCAATAAAAGAGCAGAGGCAGAGGCTGAGCGCTAGCGAGGCCTTGTATTAATACGAATCAAGCAATCCTCGTTCCCGCCGAGGCATGTGTAGTATGTTTTTATAGAACAATGTGAGTAAATAAAAAAAGACTAAGGAAAGGAAGATGTATAAAAGAAAAAGTAAAAATATAATTTAAAAATAATATGTGACGTGTTAGGACAATCCCTAAAATAAAATGTTATTGTTTTTCCAGACACTTTAATAGTAGTCTGCTGAACTTCTGATGATGTGTTTGAATGTGTATTTTTCGTTAGTTCTCACTAGCACTCATTTTCCCGACCAAAATACAAAAAAGACGAAAAACAAAAAACACCAAAACACTTTAGTTTAAATGTTACCTCCAGTTCCTTTTTTTTTAAGTAAGCGGTACAGGTAGATATTTTTTTACACAATTCTCGTAGTTGTCTACACTAAGCCGTTGGCTGTATGAATTTTCGTTTTGCCTGTTTACATAGTTCTTCTCTATCTTTATATGAATGGAAAATGTATCTTAGAATAGTTTTGCAATACATATGGTATCATAATATTACCCTCACAGTGTATGTATCATTAGAGTAGAATTTCGTTTTAATGTTTCATTTTTCATTCATACCTATTTTAATTATTATTTTTAATAGTTCTAAGTAATTATTGTTTGTTTGTTGCTCTTAAATTTCAGTTTTTATTTTTGTAAGTTTGGAGTTACTCGTCTTGTCAACCTGTGCAGTGGGTTATTTGGAAATAGCGTATTTTTTTTGTTTTGTTTTTTTTCGTATTTTCTTTACATATTTATTTAGGTTTATATAACTATATATATATTTTTTTATTTTTTACAATGTTTATTGAAGATGATTATTTTTCTTGCTCTTCAGATGATTATATTAGCGCCCAAAGTCATAATACTTCACTTTCAGATTCTGAACCTTTGGAAGATAAACTTCACGATGTATTTGATAATTATAACAAATTCCTTTCCTTAGTGTACATCAACGCGCAGAGCATTCCTGCTCACTACAATGATTTTCTTACATCTTTTAGCGCCGGCATAGTTGATTGTATTCTTGTGTCGGAAACCTGGCTGAAACCTACTTTACCTTCTACTAGCTGTTCCATTCCGGGATATAAACTATTTCGTAATGACCGTGTCGGGTGTGGTGGAGGTGGTGTTGGCATTTACCTTCGTAGCCACATCATTGCTGATGTTGTTTGTTGCTCTCAGTCACTATACACGGGTTCCTTGGAACATTTATTTCTTTCAATTGTAGTTCACCACAAAAAAATCCTGCTTGGCGTTTTATATAGCCCTAATGATAAAACAGAATATTTTAACGTCTTGGAAAGTACTTTTGAAAACTTGGTCCCCCTTTTTGACCATGTCATTGTAATGGGTGACTTAAACACGTGTCTCCTCAAAAATGACAGTCGAGCCGTCAGGTTGGCAGCTTTGACGTCTGCGCTTGATCTCCAAGTGCTAAATACAAAGAAACCGACCCATTACTTTCCTAATTGTAGACCTTCCTTGCTAGATTTAATTATTGTCACTAACCCCAAACTGGTCATTTCGCATGGGCAGATGATTGCTCCCTTTTCACATCACGACTTAATTTATCTTTCTTACAAAGTGCGTCCACCTAAAGGTAGGGGAAAAGTCCTTCTTTTGCGAAATTTCAAGAATTTGAATCTGGATCGTTTGAGAGAAGATATGAGATGTATTGACTGGTCCGTATTGTTTTCGTCTGACAGTATTGACGTAATGGTTGATATCCTTAACACTGAGTTGGTGAAGGTTTATGACTCCCATGCTCCTGCTCGGCCTGTGCGTGTCAAACGTGCGCCGGCTCCTTGGCTTTCGCCTGAGATTAAAAGAGTTATGGCAATGCGTGATAAAGCCAAATGCCGTCTAAAACGTGAACCCTCTTCAGCAAATCTAGACGCGTATAAGAAGTTACGCAATCTCAGCAATAGAATGTGTAGGGATGCCAAACGTCGCTACTTTCACTCTACCATACAAAATCTTTCCCAAGCTCAGGTGTGGAAATTTTTACATTCCGTAGGTGTTGGCAAGTCGTCCTTGGATGTTTGCCAAAACAACATAGATCTCGATGCCCTGAACTCCCACTTTTCCACGCCGCCCATCATCCTTAACTCTCGCACTAAATCGAATACTCTAACTTTTCTGTCTAATCTTGCGTTACCTGATTGTCCCTCTTTCACTTTTAGTGCGGTCACAGAGGATCTTGTAAAAAAGAGTATCCGCTCGATTTCCACTAAGGCCATTGGCAGTGACAATTTGAGCCTCGAAATGATTCTTCCCGTGCTGGAGGACATTGCGCCGGTTATTACTTACATCATAAATTTTTCTCTCTCGCGCTATGTCTTTCCAACTCAATGGAAAAAGGCTTTTGTCATACCTCTCCCTAAAATCCAGAATCCTACATCTTTTTCACAATACCGTCCTGTTTCCATTCTCCCCATTCTTTCTAAAGCCCTAGAATCCATTGTACATACACAACTTTATTCTCATCTTACCTCCTATAATCTTTTATGTCCGTTTCAGTCTGGCTTTCGTCCATCTCATAGCACTATTGGAGCATTACTGAACATTACGGAGGACATACGTCGTGCTATGGATGAAACGAAACTCACTGCCATTGCCCTCTTGGATTTCAGCAACGCTTTTAACTCTGTTGACTTCGACATTCTTCTTGGTGCCCTTCAGGCTGTTAATATCCCCTCTCCTATTATAAGTTGGTTCTCTTCGTATCTTTTCGGTCGCCAGCAGAGCGTGAAAATCAATGATGGCTCATCATCTTGGTCTAACTTAACTGCTGGTGTGCCCCAGGGTGGCGTACTCTCTCCTTTACTCTTTTGTATTTTTATTAATAATATTTCCCGTGTCATTTCTTCTCCCTTCCATTTATATGCTGATGATCTTCAGCTTTATCGTAATTTTGAAGTGGGCGAGGTAGCGGAGGCAATTGCGTCTATCAACTGTGATTTGTCTGCCATTCAGTTATGGGCCAAGTCATTTGGCCTTTTGGTTAATCCAGCCAAGTCTCAAGCAATGATTGTGGGCAGTAGCAGATTGAGGTCCAAGTTGGACTGGTCTCTGGTACCTGCGCTGGTATATGACGGAGTTCCAATTGCATATACTGACAAGGCTAAAAATCTCGGGTTAGTAATGGACTGCACCTTGTCTTGGACTTCTCATGTCAATGAGGTCAGCAGACGAATGTACTTCTCATATCATTCTCTCAAACGTCTCCAATACTTTCTTCCTTTTCACACCAAAATTATGCTTGCGCAAACTCTTTTACTCCCTATTCTTGACTATGCCGACGTTTGTTACTTGAATGCGACCGAAGACCTTTTAAACAAACTAGAGCGTCTACAGAACCTGGCTATCAGATTTATTTTCGGTCTCCGAAAATTTGATCACGTTTCCGAATTTCGTGCTCGGTTAAAATGGCTCCCAATCCGCCTTCGCCGTGATGTGCATATCCTGTCCACCCTTTTTAATATACTTCATGACCCAAATTCTCCTTCCTACCTACGTTCCCGGTTCCAACTGCTTCCCCCTCCTAGCCGCTCAAGGCGTCCGTGCATCACTAAGATGCTCTTTCATCCTAGTTGTAAAACAAATTTCTTTTACAACTCCTTTTCCTCTCGTGCAGCGCAGCTGTGGAACAGACTCCCTTCCCATATTCAGTCCAGTCCGTCAATTGCTTCCTTCAAGAAAAGGTTGACAGCGCACTTTCTTGCTGAACTCTCTTAATAATCATCATATTTGTATATGTGTAAGTTTATTGATACAATGTATTATACGTTATGTAGTCTATTTATTTATATACTATTTTAATTATTTAACGGTAATTTTATATATGCATATTTTACACATGTAGATTATCATCTTTTGTTATCTCTTTTGCACGCCGTTCCCCGCTTAAAACCTTTGCTCTCACTGCCTTGGGTTGGCTGGAAGAGATCTCTTTTAGAGATAAGTCCACCTTTGCTCACCTTATGTTATTTTTTTGTTTCTGTTTATTTGTTTGGTGCAATAAAGAATATATATATATATAGTTTATTATTAGTAGGTGGATTTAAAAATTTAGAGAAGAGCACTGCAATGGATTTTTATACATCCTTTGCAGGCCTTAGCCGGGAAGAATTCGCATGGTCCGTAAATGACAAACTTTACGTGTTCGTTTTTTGAAAGTAATACAAACATTTACGAGCATGTTTGAGAAAAAACTATTTTCGTCTAAAAATATAGCAAGTTTGATTTTTCACAATAGCTCGAAAGGGAAATTTTGCTCTTTAAATAATTACAGTTTCACAAATGCCTTATTAATTATTAACTTAACAATTGTGATGGCTGGCAAGGCTTCACTAACGTGGCATATTGTCTATCTGCGTAATAACGTATTTTGTTCACCATAAAATTAACTTTTGTGCGCTACATATTTCTTCAATTAAACTTACTATAACTAATAACTTAATAACCAAAGTCGTATTACATAACTGTCTAATAGGTAGTATAGTCGAAACGGATGCCAAATAACCGATATTTGGCGTTTACATTACGCGAACAGCGTGTCTCGATTCGCTCAAAGGGATATACCACGTTTATTTGGCAGCGAACGTTTTCTTTGACCAAAAAGATGAGCTTTTGGCGAGAACAGATTTAAAATGATGGGTTTAGACAAATGTAGACACGTTCTTGATCAATGTTTTTTTCCATATTCTCAGAAATAACACAGACTATCTACAACTTTTTAACTACCAAATTAATAATAGAAGGTTTTTGCACAGCATGATCCTCTCTTCCTTCCAACATGGTAAAGTCGTTATGAAGATTCTCAGAGAAGAGCTCATCTCCCGCTACAGCGGCTGGTTAGTGCTCATGATCATTGCTCTTAACGAATAAGCCGGTGTCATAATTCATAAATCTTTCATTAAATGGTTTAATCGAAGAATTAGAAAATAATCAATTCATTTATCACGGACAGATATTTAGATTGTACATAACTGCGCGAAAAAAATCAACTTCAGCACCACGCTTTCCCAAACAAACGACAATTAAACAAAATTATAGATTAAGAGAATAATTAATAATTAAGTATGAATACGTCTCTAAAATTATTTAAATGGCAATATGGTTAAACTTTCTTTTGGTTACAACTGACTTCTCCACGAATGTGGCAGGAGCTGCTTTTCTTGTTGGCCTGCACCATAGTGAGTGGCGACGGTTCCTTATGATCTTTCGCTTGAGTAGAAGGCGGAAATAGAACAACACCGATGGAACAAACCTACATTTGCCTTGGCTTTTGTTTTGTTTGATAGCACTCCAGCTCTTTTGCTTTCATTCTTATCTGAATATTGTTTTATCACAACACCGCTTCAATATTTGTATTACATTATGTTTAAGTGCTATTAAGTAACATTTAAATACATGGAATACAGAGACGTTGCTGCAGAACATAATAGGTATATTTTTATTATACACACGTACAATTGATATTTCACAGATAATAAAAGAACGTGTCCCATATGTAAAACGTATTTAAGTATAGTACAAGGCAATTACAACGGGGTCTATGAATGGAGGTTTTATTTTCGTCTTCTGAACTAGACGCTGCGCTGGCGTAATTTGCGAAACCCGATATTTATTTATTGTGTTATTAATTATCCCTGAGATCCAATTCCCTTTGGCAAAACTACTAATCAGTAAGACGTTTTGATTAAGCACTGCGAAGATACGCCAATTTGCGGAACTACGTGCAAAATAGAACATCCTAAAATTAAGAAAAATCCAGTTCGTGCATACATCTGACATACTAGAAGAGAGCGGGAAGGTTATGATGGATAACTTTCGAAACAGTTTGGTCGCAATAATGCTATTTAAAGAAAATTCTATGTTTAGAGCTGTTAAACTGGCACTGACAATTCGTAGGTGCGGAATGAAAGTGCTCTTGGCGTGTCCAATTAAAATTAAAAAGGAAAACTAAGTGTCCAGGACAAGCCTTTCTTTAGAAAGCCTTTCGGTCCATTTGTTCAAAACATGTGACATCAATAAACTGAAGAAACTTGAGTCGTTCGTCTGTCAACCGAGCAGAGATAGACATATAGGTCTCAATGTCTCAATAAAGATTTTGTTTCAGTATAAACGTTGT